GTTCGATTACAAACATATCCAATTAAACATTTAGAAATTGAGGCTTCAGGACCATTTAGGATTCAGGTGTATGAGGAAGGTATTTAGAAATCTTTACGCTAGAGTTATTTAAGATACGAAATGTAACAGGTGTGAATCCATTACTCAGGCCATCATGGCATTTTAGACATTTTGATTCTTGAAGAATTCTTAGTAATGTAACCCAATAAGGGTCAAGTGATGGTTTACAGTATTCAATATTTATATTGAATTATCATAGTCAAGTCAAACTAATCAGATTCCAACACTGGAATACTTATCAATCATTCGAGTGGAAATACTTCACATATATGCACTTCTAAATACTGACTGCACTAGTTGAACTGATCTCCTTTATAATCAACATTCATCAGATCTTTAGAAGACGAACATGCATTTCGATGGTGTTTAATTTATTTTTGTATTGTAACAGTATCTAGAATGACATACGTGCCTGGGTCATGCTCCAAACCTTAAGGGGTAGTACACCACTTAGGTTTATCAATGTTTCTAGAACGTATCCAGTGACAGCCACTTATTTCTATATCATAAAGGTATTTAGGTCATTTCAATACTTGAGGTTATTATAGTCATTTCAGAGTTCGAGGGTATTTTATTCATTTTCTTCGATCTAATCATATGCATTATTTCTACTAATTTCGTTTTTGGGTGCTTAATCAAGAAATATAAAATTTTAAGTCTTCACCCTCTCTGTAAAAAACTTATTACTAAAATTTTTTATAATCATATAAGTGGTTTATTAGGCGAAACAGTAAATTTATCAAGTAAAATGTGGTTCATTAAATCAATTCCACTATTAGGGTTAATTTAGGTCATTTTTACCTCTTAAGGATAATTTCATAATTTCTTATTATCGTATTTCCAACATTAAAACTATTTAACGAGAAATATTATAATATAATAATTTTGGGTTTAATTGCTTTAACGATTAATCACTAAACTTGGATTTATTTCTTATCGATCTTCTAATTTCTTATGCGAGTTATCTGAATCTTATATAGTTTGCTTACTTCTTACCGTGTTCGGTTCGAGCCCAGTAATAATTAAGTACACATAATTGACCAATAATATCTATTGATGCAATAACCAATATCAATGTGTTCTGTAAACCATGCAAAAGTAGTAACGTATTATTTTGATTTTTGAGCCACAACGGTAAAGTATTTAAACTCTATTCGATCGCCCTCAAACTTAATTTCAACATCGAATAATACCTCGAATACATAGCAAAATCAATTACATAAAAACAAATCTTAATCAGGAAAAAGGATGGAATCTAAAGATAAAATACTGAAAAGAACTTACCGGTTTGAATTTGGCAAAATGAACCCCGAAAATAGACTAAGGATGTCAAAAAACATCAGGATAGGTGGTCCTAAAAAATATCAACGGTCGATCAACACTGGTCAATGGTGTTAATAGCTAGAAGGATCGGCTCAACTCACGGCTTGAATTAAGCGGCTCAGTCTAGCCGACTCAAACTGATTTTATCAGTTCAGACCGGTCCAGCTAATACTAAAAGTCTCCCAGGCAAAAAACAACCCCTACGTGTAGGGAGCAACACGTGGGGTGCGTTTAACAGCCTGCGATGGCCGAACGACCACCAAACTTTCCAGAATCGAGAATCCTTTTATTTTAGCCCACTTACCAAACTTGGATTATGACGGAGTGCGACGAAGATGCATTTTCTCAATGGTCGAACATCATCTCTCTTTGATCTCCTCCAACACTACGACGGTGATGGCAGTGACTACACAAATCGACTCAGGATAGGGCACAAAATTCGATGAAGCCGGTGATGTCACCAACGCTCCTCTGGATGATGAAAAACCGTCGAAAACCCAAGAATAGACTTATTTTTCTTGTGAGCATTTGTGATGATCTCCACGATAAATACTGATGATTCACGGAGTGTGGTTGGTTGGATTTTGCTCGCGGGTCAACAACGATCATAACGAGGGTAGTGGTGCACAACATGACTGGCGAGAAAAATAGTCGACAGTAAGGAACAGAAGTGAGGGACTCCTAGTTTTTGGATGAATTTCCAAAAATGAGGAAGATGACTTGGGTGTTATTAGGGGTGTGCAAAAATACTCGATTTGGTGGACCCGACCCGTCAACACGCCGACCCGAACCTAAACCGGGTAATTTTTTAAAAAAAAGTACCCGACCCGACATTTCCCTGGTCGGATCAAGGTCACAAAATTGATTTTTTTTGATACCCGGTTACCTGAGTACCCGATTAGGGATTATTTTAGGGTAAACTATCTATTTGGTTACTTATATATTATCTAATTTATATTTTGGCCACTCGATTATTATTTAGGGTAAACTACCTATTTGATCACTTATATATTATCTAATTTATGTTTTGGTCACTCGATTATTATTTAGGGTAAACTACCTATTTGGTCACTTATATATAATCTAATTTATGTTTTGGTCACTCGGTTTTTTTTTTCAAAATTATACTTAACGTTACGTTTTGATTACGTTTTGTTCACCCATATTTAAAAATGAACAATGATGCTAACATGACATTTTTTAAATTATATTTGGATGTTGGACTAACATTTTTTAATAATGTTTGGATGTTGGACTATGTAATTCGAAGTTTCAAACATTTAAATTTATGTGTGTTTTTTAATTAATAATTTGAAAAAAAATCCGGGTATCCGAGTACCCGAAATACGGGTACCCGCAAAATTCTGATACCCGATTATCGGGTACCCTCAACATCCGGGCCATAACACAGGCCAAGAAATCAATTACCCGAAGATCCGGGTACCCAAAAATCTGGGTACCCGGATTTGCACACCTTTAGGTGATATAATATTGAACCAATAGTAATAAAGGCCATTCTTTTACATTTCATAGCAACTACAATAACCTAGTCTAATTGGTAGAGGTTTGGGTTAAGGTATCAAGGGTCTTGGGTGTAAACCCTTCTTGCCCCATGTTATTATTATTATTTTTTATTTTTCAAAAGCAAAACATCTAAGCAACAATGGGTAAATTTACATCCAATGTAATTCCTGACTCTAATATTTATTATTTCGATTTTTAACTTTTTCACGAATTCAAATTAGTCCATGAATTTTCATAATTTATTTTATTTTTTCGTCCAAGTTGTATTAATTCTTAATTTAGTCCTTTGACTTAAATTGGGGTGTGACATTTCACAATTGAGTTAATGAAACGAACTTAATCTTATATAAGTACACATATTAAATACAATATGCTAACTTAATCTTAGGCATTAGTTCAAAACTTTTTATGCAATAACATGGCATAATCTGAGAGAGCAAATTATAAAAAAAACAACTTAAAAATTCAAGTTTAGGACCTAATTGAGAAAAGTTTCCAAGTTTAAGGACGCAACAATGCTTTACCCTAAGTTTTCATACCAAATTAAAGTGACTTACAATGTTAAAGTGCAAATTACCCAGCTACATATAAACAAAGCCCTAAGCACAACAAAACCAACCCTTCTTTTCGTATGTAAAATTATTAAAGGGAGTGTTATTATCAAGTTTTCAAGCAGAGATGGGATTCAACAAAGAGACTCTCCAAATAATTATTGACGTATGTAAGATTAAATTGTATTATTAGATTGTGGGGGTTTTCTATTTAAATATAGGGTAAATTATTTTTTAATTAATTATTAGTATACAATCTATTGACCAACTAATTGTACTGTAGAGGCGAGGGCAACCCTCCCAACCCAAATTATTTCATTCGCAAACGTTAGAGTTCAAACCTCTATCCTTGCTTTTCATCACACTAGACCAACTGATTGTTGGTTAAAGATAATGTTTTAATAGATAATTAATGGAAGGGAAAACCATCAACACGGACGATAAGGGAAAACCATCAACACGGACGATAAGAGAAAACCTTGGAATTACGGGGCATGCTTTCTATAAATTTATAATTTCCAACGTCTGAAAATTTATATTATCAAGTAATAAAATTATTTTTTATTAATTTGATTTATTCATTAACTTTTATTTAAAAAATTTAAATGTAATTTAAAAATCATACATCCATAATATTATAACAGCATATCAAATAATTTTTAATTTATATTGTACAAATTTAATATTTATAATTAAAAGATGATATTTATTTTATTCATATCTATTTTAGTTTCAATTCAATGAACCTGATAAAAATTATTTCAATTAAAATTAAGAGTAAAATTAAATTTTAGTTATAATTGAAATGTCAAGTGATATTTTTCTTAATGATTTTGTGCCTATTTTTTTAACAAAAATTAAAATTTAATATTCATTATGTAATTTTTAAAAGTTAAGTTTTCAAAAAGATAATTTTAATATAATTTAATGATTATTTATAAATTTTACTCTAGAAAATTAGTGGTGAATTACGGAGCATGCATTCTAGAAATTCCCTTGGAATAATACATATTTTGACCATTATATTTTATTGCAAAATGCAAACAAGATTAAGAAATGTATATCCGTAGCAAATACAGGGAAGAAACTCGGAAGAGTTTCACAACTTTCGGCAAAATTTCTTCATTCTGCATTTATATAAATTCCAAGGAATAGCTCAATTATCAACCACAACAGCAGTAGGGGTGTGCAAAAATATCCGATCCGGTATACTCAATCCGTCGATCCGCCAACATGACCTAAAAAACCGGATAATTTTTAAAAATTTATCTGACCGGGTCGGGCCCGGGCCACAAAATTGAGTTTTTTCGGGTACCCGGTTACCTGAGTACCCGGTTAATTTATATATATACACACAAATAATATCAATATTATTTGTTAATGTGAGTAAATCTGTAGCAGATACAAGGAAGCATCTGGGAAGAAGTTGAGCACTTTGGGTAGAAATTCTTGATTGTGCTGATATAAATTCAAAGGAATGGCACAATTATCAACCACTACAGCAGCAGTTTAGTTATAGTATTCTCCTTCTAATCTTCTTTGAATTATATATTGGCAAATTTTTTCCTCTAAGCCAATATTACTCTTATTAATAAAATTTATCTTTGCTGTGCCAAAAAAAGCCTAGGAAATGAAGGATGACGAGTTAAAGCAAGTGTATCCACATCTGTCCCGAAATGATCGAGCAGCTGTTATCGAAGCAATTCACGGTTCTGGGAATCCGAACAGAGCGCTTGGGATATTAGATGATGCATATGTAGCCTCCGGCCAAGAAACCTACCACCAAAACTTTTGGAAAATGATCGTGCCGAGATCGGACCAACGCAGGGGTCAACATCGGTCCACCAGTCGATCTGAGGTTCAGTCGAATTCTCGAAGTCGAACTACGGTCCAATCAATATCCCAAAGCCAAACCCAGGTCCACTCAAAATCCCAAATTCGAAACGAGGTCCAGTCAAAATCCCAAGTTCGAACTGTGGTCGAATCAAAATCCCAAACTCGTATTGAGGTCCAGTCAAAATCCCAAATTCGAACTGTGGTCGAATCAAAATCCCAAACTCGAATCGAGGTCCAGTCAAAATCCCAAATTCGAACTGTGGTCGAATCAAAATCCCAAACTCGAATCGATGTCCAGTCAAAATCCCAAACTCGAACTGTGGTCGAATCAAAATCCCAAACTCGAACTGTGGTCGAATCAAAATCCCAAACTCGAATCCAAGTCCCGTCAAAATCCCAAACTCGAATCGAGGTCCAGTCAATTTCTCAAAGAGGAAGCGAGATTCAAAGACATCCTCGAAGTCATGCTGATGTTCAAAGGGCCTCTCATTCAAGCAAAGGTCGGATTCTACCAAGAGGCTCTTAAAGCAATTACCGAGGTGTGTAAGGTCAGATTATGTTAAGAGATTGTGGGATTATTATTATTATTATTTGGATGTTGAGTTATATGGAATTACTGTTTAAATAAGTCATTTTAGAATTAATTGTTTGTTAAAAGATTGTTGCAGTTGGTTGTACTTTCATTTCTCTTCCTCTTTGAAGATAATAAAGATTTGTATAAAAAAGTTGTTCTCAATCTGATCTAATACAATCAAATTATGAATCGATAAATGTTATTGTTGAGGATGTTTTTGAGTTATATTAGTCCTCAGAATAATTCTTATCTGAAGGTAACAATTACACTTTCCAATAAGGGAAAATTCAGAAATTTTTTCTTCCATGTCAAAAAGCAAATTATAAACTTTTTAGGGTAGACTACACAAATGACCGCCCAACTATGGCTTGGTCTCGAAATGACTACCATTTTTAAATTTACGTCAATATGACCACTGAACTATTTAAATGGTTTCAATATAACCATCTGTCGTTAACATTTAATGGAAGTGTTTACGTGGTAGTTAACAAAATTGGTATAATTAGGGCCCGAGTCCTTGTAAAGTTACGTATTCATGGCGCTGTAACTCTGCTATGTTTTCTTCCATTTTGGTCACTACTTGTATATGATTTGTTTTCGAAGATTTTCATTTAATGCAATTTGACCTTAATTTTGTTTTAAATTTGTCCAATGCCTTAATTTGAGAGTTAACTTTAAAATCTTTTATTCTAGTCATGTATTAAATTTATAGATTAAATCCCCTAGATTTTAGACTTAATCAATTCAATCACCAAGGTTAACTTTAATTATTAACTTTTAATTAGGTCCTAATTTCAATTTAATTTAATAAATTTATTTCTCCAATCAAATTGTGACACATGTTGCTTTTGAATTGAAGTGAAAATAAATAAAGATGAATTTCAATACCCAAGGGAATTCAACTTGAGTCCCAAGAATAACATGCACATGCCTTAACAACTAAGCTAATTCTAACTGTTGTTATTATGATAATACATATGTTATATAACTTGTTCAAGTTTAGGCAGAATAAAATAAAATAACTTAATTGGATTTGAACGCAAAATGAATTAGTAACCAAGCAAGCATTAACCAATAAGCTAAATCTAATATTTAGGATCTATTATAATATATATATATATATATATTATAGTTAATGATAAAAAAATAAAAACGGATAAGTGAGAACTTACATCTAGACCAGTTGAGAATATGACAACACTTAAATCACTAAAATAAATCTAATAATTTATTTATAATTGATTTAAAATTTTAATATTATTAAACACTAAATTTATTATTTTCATATTTATTTTTTAATGATTATAAATATATGAAATTATCAAAACTAATTTAATATCAAATTATAATCAAAAGAAAAAATGGTTAAAATTCAAAATATAAATTTTTCGTTTCATTTTAAGTTGTGCTCGAGAGTTCGGGTGTGTTAAATAAATTTTTAATTTAAATAAATATAATTGTTGATAAATAAATATAATTTTATATATATATATATAATCATCAATAATTAAATATAAAATAAATAAATTTAATTTTAAAATTTTAAAATCTTAAATTATTTATAAATAATATATTAAATTTGTTTAGCTATTTAAGTGTTATCATATTCTCAGTTTGCCTATATTTAAGCCCTCACTTGTCTATTTTTATTTATATCATTAACTAAAATATATAATATATAAAAATATTTTACTTGATTCCTAAATATTAGATTTAGCCTATTGGTTAAGGCTTTACTTGGTTTGTAACTGATATTGGGTTCAAATGCAATTAAGTTATTTTATTTTTATTTTTCTGCTTAAACTTGAACAAGTTATATAACATATGTATTATCAGTGTGAGAATTGACTCAACGAATGATTAATTCTAAAATCTAGGGGGTTTAATCTATAAATTTAATACATAACTAGAACAAATGATTTTAAAGTTAATAGCTCAAATTAAGACATTAGACAAATTAAAAACAAAATCAAGATCAAATTGCATTAAACGAAAATCCAAGGAAACAAACCATATACAAGTATTGACCAAAATGGAAGAAAATAAAGTAGGGTGTCAGCGCTGCAAATACTTAACTTTACAAGGACTCGTTCCCTAAGTATACTAATTTTGTTAACTGCCAATTAAATACTCCCGTTAAATGTTAAAGACATGTGGCAATATTGAAATCATTTAAATAGTTTAGTGGTCATATTGATGCAAATTTGAAAATGGTGGCCATTTCGATACCAAGACCATAGTTGGGTGGTCATTTATGTAGTTTAGCCTATATTTTATTTGCAAGATGCAAAGAACTAGAAGAAGAAAAGACAAATTCATAGCAGATACAAGGAAGCATCTGGGAAGAAGTTGAGCTCTTTCTTTGGGTAGAAATTCTTGATTCTGCTAATATAGATTCAAAGGAATAGCACAATTATCAACAACAGCGCAGTAGTTTAGTTATATATTATTCTCCCTTTAAGCTTCTTTGAAACATTTATTGGCAATTTTATTCCCTTTGAGTCAATATTACTCTTACTTGTAAAATTTATCTTTGTCGTGTGTAAAAGAAGCCGAGGAAATGAAGGATGCATATGTAGCCTCCGGCAAAGAAAACTACCAAAACTTTTGGAAAATGATCGTGCCGACACCGGACCAACGCAGGGGTCAACACTAGTCCAATCGATCTGAGGTTCAGTCGAATTCTCGAAGTCGAACTATGGTCCAATCAATATCCCAAATCCAAACCCAGGTCCACTCAAAATCCCAAACTCGAAACGAGGTCTAGTCAAAATCCCAAATTCAAATTGTGTCAAATCAAAATCCCAAACTCGAATCGAGGTCCAATCAATTTCTCAAAGAGGAAGCGAGATTCAAAGACATCCTCGAAGTCATGCTGGTGTTCAAAGGGCCTCTCATTCAAGCAAAGGTCGGATTCGACCAAGAGGCTCTTAAAGCAATTACCGAGGTGTGTAAGGTCAGATTATGTTACGAGATTGTGGGATTATTATTTTTATTATTATTTGGATGCCGAGTTATATGGAAAATGTGAAAATAACTGTTTAAATAAGTCAATTTAGAATTAACTGTTTGTGTGCTGTGACGTGGGCGTGAATAGGTGGTGCTTTAAGGTCTTTGTGTTTTGATAGTATTTGGTTGGTTTTTATTGTTAACTGGATGTGTATTAGGTCTGGAAGCATTGATGTACATTATTGTGAATCATGGCTCGTTGAATGGTCTGATTTTGGACTAGATTCATAATCGTGGTACACTCTTTTTCCTCTATGTAGGTGTAGGGAGGTTTTTTAATAAGGTCACGTTTGCATTGTGATTTTGTATGTGGTTAATAAAAATACACAAAACCTCCCCTTTCAAAAAAAAAAATTGTTGGTTGTACTTTCATTTCTCTTTTCTCTTTGAAAATAATAAAGATTTGTATAAATAAGTTGTTCACAATTTAGAGAGACTAGAGTTTCATCTATAAAATAAAATTATGAATAAATAAATAAATGTTATTGTTGAGGATGTTTTGGAGTTATATTAATCCCGACAATAATTCCTATCGGATCAAGAACCATTCAAGGTAACAAGTAAACATTATATTTTTCGACAGATATTGTGGATCAATCGTCGTCTATCACTATCATAATTTTAGATAAGAATTATATTAAAATGTTCTCATTCCATTCCTTTTTTTTTTCCTTTTGTATGGATTTTTCATGAAATCCACTCAAAATCGACAAAAATCACTTAAGAGTTTGACGTGTTAATACTTCGATCTTTTCCGATAAGCATATGAAGAGATTAGTTTTGATGTATGTTATTTATCTTCACGTAATAACATCAAACTCTTAAATGGATATATAGATTTTTTATGGAATTCTTATTACAAAAGAAATAATATATTTATGGAGTAAGAGAAGAACAAAAAGGGAGTTGTTCTTAAATCAAATTTCACAAAAGCTTATGAATTTGTCAAGTAGGAATTATTGGATAAGGTTTAACACCCTAAATTTCGGGTTACTAGTTTCAGGTTTACCCGAGAGGTAAGTGGACCACATGAAATTCATATTTTAAGTCTTTGGGCCGTGTTGGGTTTAATTAGGTTGAGTTTGAAGCCCAATTAGTCAAAAAGGAGATTTTTTAAAAAAATGAAGAAAGACCAAAAGCATGATTCCTCCATTTTCTAAAAATGAGCCTATTTATTTCTTTAATTCCCTTCCATTCCTTCATATTTCATTCTCTTCTTCTTACTCTCCAAGGGTTAAAGCCAAAGGTAATAGTTTAAGTCTTTTCATGATTTATTTTAGTTCTAAATCCCTCCAGCAACATCGTTTTAATGAATCAAGCCTTGGGTTTTTATAGTTAAAGAGAAAAATAGGATTTTCATCAAAATCACCAAGGATAGGAGTTTGGCTAAGAAAGGGGCTTCATTTCAGGTTTCTAAAACCAAGGTAGTGTATTTTTAATCCTTTGGAGTGTTAAAATTATTATAAGTATGAAGATTTGCTATAATTTGTATATTTAAGCATTTTAGGGTTTATATTTGATTTTATGATCAAATGATGTATTAGAGATTAAGAAGATGTTTTTATGCTACTTTAAGACCCTAATTAACTTTCTAAAGCTTGAAAACAAGTTTAAAAACGAAATCGTGGCCTTTAGGATGAGTTTTGGGTGATTCACGAGCCTAAATAAACCATTTTCATGTTCGAGTATCGATACTGGTTAAATTGGGGAAAATTAGGGTTTCAGGTTGGGAGTATCGATACTACTAGGGAGAGTATCGATAATGTAGTATCGATACTCATAGGGGTATCGATACTTGACCTTAGGGTATCGATACTTGACCCTAGGGTATCAATACTAGAAGTAGAGTATCGATACTACTCCCTTTGGATGGTCAGTTTTGACCCGGTTAAGGCTCATAAGAGCTAAGAACAATCTGAAATAGTAAGAATGGGTCCATGAGGGACCTGAATGCCCTAACATACTTAAAAACACTTGTGGGAGCG